CAGCTCATGTGGCGATTGCCATTGCCATTCTTCTCATCGGCCTGCTGGTGATTGTTTTTTTCGTTTTTTGGCAGAGTAATCTAACGACAATTTATCAATCGGTTCCGCTGTTTAGTAAATAAAAAATTTAAAAAACTACATTTGAACAAAAATCATCTTTTTTATCAGTTTTGTACCGGCGAGCTAAAAATAGGCGCTGGTAGTGATAGAATCAACGTTTAGTCACCGTACCTAAAAGCCTACTGCGCGTAAATTTTTTTTTTACAAAAAACGATACCACAAATCTCAACATCCTCCTGAATCATCATCGCTCACGTACAACATGCAGGTTATCAGATCACATGATCCATTTTTATACATTTTTGCTAATCACTATCTCCTGGCGGTGTTCAATGCCATTCGATGATGGCAGTGGCGGTGGTGGTGACCACCAGGACTGATAGCAAACGCCCGCTGTGCAGCGTAATAATACCACTAATAGTACGGCGGATGGTGGTGGTGGTGGTGGCTAGACACAGTTGCCTAATTTTTCATCATCATCATTGTACGACAGTTGTTGCTGCTGTTGTACAACAAGCACAGCATGAGCGTCGTACATTTGAAACTATTGTACAACAAAACAAACAAGAAAGAAAACTGATTGAATCATCATGATTTTTTTCACCTTCAGCAAAAACTCTAGTCATCACCACCACTTCACCCTAATCTCCATCACCACCTACCTCCTAACCTCGGTCACTCAAAATCCATCACTCTTTGTAACATCAAACCCGATCTCATTTTCATCTTTGAGGATTTCCACAACCTTCACCGGCTTAAACTGCACCAAATCGAGCGACTGTCATCCTAATTCAATTTGCTATCGGCGAGAATGTCGCTGCCGATTGGGCCTCGTTTGGTGTCCTCAGGAACGCCGCTGTACGACGCATCAGTGTATGGCAAACTACGAGTGCTACTCACTGTACGGTAATTCAATGTGCGAGACGGGAAGTGGTTGTATCTGCAGCTTCGGTTTTCAGCTTGAAGAGGAGAGTCAGCAGTGTCGGTTTGGTGGATTTCGACGAACCTTTCCCAACACCTTTCTCTTCTTTGGAGCGCTGGCTTTTGTGGTGATCCTGTTGTGGCTGATTATGCCGGGGCTGATTGTGATTTTGAAAAGGAAAAGCTCTAAAGAAAATGGCAAGAAAAAGATGGGCAAAAGAAGTAACAATTTTGGTGGCCCTTTAATTGAGAGTACTTCTAGAAGTTTATCTGCGTCTGATGGAAATGATGNTGGCTGATTATGCCGGGGCTGATTGTGATTTTGAAAAGGAAAAGCTCTAAAGAAAATGGCAAGAAAAAGATGGGCAAAAGAAGTAACAATTTTGGTGGCCCTTTAATTGAGAGTACTTCTAGAAGTTTATCTGCGTCTGATGGAAATGATGATAATAGCACTACCAGGCCACCCGCAGTGCCGCCTAATACGCCCTCCTCTTCTTTATCCTTATCAGATGATAGTGATGACGGTGATAATGACAACTGTGAACAAGTTCAATCGGAGAACACGGAAGTAGAAGCTGTTAATGATAACCGAGAGGAAATGCCTGAAAATGATGATCTTAATTCTTTTAACTGTGGAAGTACACTTTCTTTGCAGTCAGAACAACAAGAGCAACAACAAACATTCCCGACTCCTTTTGATGATCATCAACTGAACGATGCTGAGAGGATTCTTTTTGAAATATCCCGTGATCTTCTCGCCGAGCTGGAAACTCAGATGGAGGTTGAAGTGACTAAAACTCAAACTAGATCATCACCACCACAACCACAACCTCAAAACTTTGATGACAACTCTTTTTCTTCAGTACTTTCCTTAGGCAATCTTTTCAACAGCGGCAGCAGCAGCAACAACAGTCGTACACTTTCAAACTCCACCTCAACGCCTAACTTTTCAAACTCTTTAAATAGCAGCACTCGTCTAAACAGCAATCCCTTCAGTCGACTGAACTCCCAAAACTCCACCAACTCCTCCTCAAACAGCTCACTGCCCTGCATTGACTCTCTCTATCACCCTCCACCGCCGTACACACCTCCAGACAGTCCAGGCGTTCTTAGGACTACTCGATCTCTCAGAGTAGTTCAACAACAGCAGCAACAGCAACAACAATTTGAATTTGTTGACGACCAGAATAATCCTTTTCTGTCATCAGTTTCATCAGCAGATCCATCACCACCACCACCACAGCAATCACTACCTCCTCGACCTTCACTTAGTCGGCTAAACTCCCGCATTTTCACCAACTCCACTTCTAATCTGCACTCTCTTGAAGAGAGGGCTGAAGAGGAGGAAGATGTTGAAGAAGAAGAGGAAGAGGAAGGTATTGATGGTGAGTCTGAGGATAAAGATGAGGATGAGGATTCTGAAGATGAGGACGAGGACTCTGAACCGGAAATTGTTGGCCCAATCTGTCAACCGCCACCTCCCTACCTTAAACGTTGCGATAATCGCCTTGACACTTGCAATCTGCCGCAGCCGTGCACCAGCCGTGCTGCCGTGACGATGATTANGAAGATGAGGACGAGGACTCTGAACCGGAAATTGTTGGCCCAATCTGTCAGCCACCACCTCCCTACTTTAAACGCTGTGATAATCGCCTTGACACTTGTAATCTGCCGCAGCCGTGCACCAGTCGTGCCGCCGTGACGATGATCATTGAGCAGGAAAATAAAGAAAGAAAACAGTGTGTTGAAAAAATTACTGGTTTTGACGAAGATGAAGAAGATGCTGAAGAACATTATGATCAAAATGAAGAAGAAGAAGAAAATGAAACGAGTGATGAAAATGATGACACCACCTCTTTTTCATCCTCTTTTGATTTTACCCGCTCTCTCAATCAAACAAAAGTGTCGTTGATTGAATTTTTAAAATAAAAGGCAATTGTTAATAAATTGTACAAAATAAAGTAAACAAAAAATAAATGGGCGTTTTTGTCACAACCATTTTTACAACATATACCAATTGTACTTTTTGAACAATGTCGTTGAGCAAAAAAATTGTAAAAACTGCGTTGTTTAAAACCAAAATTAAAAACAGTTAAAAAACCAAAAATGCAACGTAAAGCTTACCTTTTATTCATTTTAACACTATCTTTTATAACCTCTCAAACTCCACCACTTTCATCAGCCACCTACATCAAACGCAAACTCTCTTTTTCCTCCTCCTCATCAAAGTCTAGCAATTCTACCACAAACACCGCCGCCGCCCAGATCTTCTGCGACTCCACCGATGACTGCCCCGCCCACTCGGTGTGCTACCAAAACAACTGCATATGCGACTTTGGCTACACCTTCCAGCAGAAGGTGCTTTGCATCCGCCTGCCCTGCTCCACCGACCTCGACTGTCAGGGCACCTTTCTCCACTCCAAATGTCAGGAAAAATCTCACTGCATCTGCTCCGAGGACGCCTACCTGGACCCCTTTAACCAGGAATGCTACGAGAAGATGAACCACGTCGTCCTGTGGTTCGGATTTTTGACTATTTTGGGGATCATAATCTTCCTGCCGGCGGGAAAGCTGGTGGCCCGGCATCGAGCAATTCAGCGGGAGAATCGAGCCCTCGAGGCGGAGCAAATGGCCGCCCAGGGCCCCCTGGGGACGCTTAGTTTTGGTAATGCCGGCGTACTGAACTACGATGACGCCTACCTCCGCTACTACCACACTGTGAACAATAGCCACAGTAGTAATGTGCTCATTGTACAATCCAATCTTTTTCCTTCTCCTCCCTCCTCTTCCTCCTTCTTTGCCAGTGATGCAGGTGATGCAGGGAAACAACAGCAAGCGGCTGAAGTTCAAAACGACGGCCAACGGCGGATACACCGAGCTGGAATCAGCAGCGGCGGATTCAGAGGAAGAGGGAATGGAAATGGAGGCAATTCTGTAATTGCTGAATTGAAGGCTGAAAATGTGGAGGAAGATCTGGTGGAAGAGTTAGTGAACAATGAAGGCAGAAAAAAGATGGTCTACTTTAGATCAATGTCGGAGCAGTAAAAAAAGTGTTTTTGTACAAAGCAGTTAAAAAATTAAAAAAGTTTAATAAAAATTACCTGTTAATCATCTTACTTTACCAATTTTAAATTTTAGCATTAAAACTAAAACAATGTTGCATCTTTTATACGTGAGAAAAGAAAAAATACTAAACAAGTTAGCGCTTATTGAAAACACATGTTTTTTACTATCTGGACTTTATCAACTAAACAAGTGCTACTGTTTTTGAGCACCATATTTGATATTGAGTTCAAAAGTGTCAAAATAAGTATTTTGCTAGAATTTAATGAGTCAGCAAGCAGCTTTAAAGTAATCTTGAGATTTCGCTAAAATACAGTAGCTATTGCGCTTTTTAGTAGCATCAAAAGTTAAATTGTGTTTAAACTGCAAAAACTAAATTAAATTTTTATTGTTAATTTGTGCATAAAAAACTGATTTTTTACAAAACGATTAAAATGATTGCAAAATGTAAATTACTTTTTTTATTTTTTATTATTTGTAAATTATCAAAAAATGTTAGAACAATTTTACCTTTTACTACCGCCATCAACACTTCCGCAACCAACATTTCAACAACCTTATTGTCAACATTAAATGAACATAATTACACATCACAAACGTTATCATTAACTGAATTACAGACAAAAACAACAACAACAACAACAACAGCAAATCCACTTCACAATGAAACATCCACCCAGCCTCCGTTTAATCCTGACATGAAAGGCAAAACCGTAGTGTACATTCTCCTTTTCATCTTCCTTGTTGCCTTAACCTTCTTCCTCTGCACCTGTCCTTGCCTCAGTTTTTACTGCTGCTTTGGCTACAATAAAGGAAAAAGAAAGGGAAAAGTAGTGCAATGGAGTAACACTACTCTAACAGCGGATCAACAAGTCAACCAGCACAGGCCGCCAGAGTACTGTGAAAATGTTTATGGCTCGGCTTTTGAGGTGCTTGAACCGATGCCAGGACCTAGCGGTACCATTTGGACAGCAAATGAAGTTGATGGTAGAAATGGTTATATTGAAAATGAAGTTAATTGCTGTGATCAGCAACAACCACCTGTTGAATTTGCAGCTTCTAGAGTGCTTTCAGATAAGATTAGGCTTATTTAATAAAAAAGATAATTTTGCATAAAGTAGCGGCCCATAGGCCGCTAGCGACGTGGCTTTGAGAGTTCGAAGTTACGTCGCCTGTTTGTATATAAGCAGCTACTCTTTGCCATTAAAGTCAGTCTGGACTACGGATGCTTGTGTTCACTCTCACTCAGCGCTTCTATAAATGATTTTTAATTAAAAATTTAAAATCTTTTGCTCTATCAGGTAAAGTATACAAAAATGTAAAAAATGTAAAAAACAAATTGTAAATAAATAAAACGCAAAAATAAAAATGTTGAATTGTTTTTAATTAACTTTTATAAAAAGTGTTCAAATCAATTGTCGAGATGTGTACTTTTAGTTTTTTACTTTGACGCATCACTCCACTACACTACCAATGCTAGGATACTTTAGATAATGTCAAAGTAGACAGTAATAAAAAAAGTTACTAAGTTTAATTGCACCTAAAAATGAAAAGATTTGAGAAAGAGGCTGCAATTTGCTTGCAATTAAGATAGTTAAATAGTACAAAAAGAGAGAACGATGGCGATAACAATTAGTTGTCGTGTATAGCAAAATGTGCAGCAAAACGCCTTTGCAACTCAAAAAACAAAAGGCGGTTAAAAGGATGGCATTGTCAAGAAAATAGTAATCAGGTGTTGCAAACTGGTAATGAAAATACAAAAAGCGCAATGTGCTAACAAATGTGCAAAATAGTAACAATGTAAAATTGTTAAAAAATTTAAAATAATAATTTTTTAGTTTACAAAATTTAAAAACAAAATCAAAACTATAAAAATAACAATGTACATTTCACCGTCAAAATTTTTATTATTTCAAACGACTCTATTGATAATACTCAGCCAAGTTGTTCAAAATGTGATCACAAAAAGCCTTTCTTCATCAAACAAAACTTTAATTTATCATCAAT